TGTGAAACGTCTAAAAGTCTTCAAGAAACTATGGGTATCATATCCATCAACAACATCAATATATACAGCACGAGTAACCATGCAATTAAATATAACACCATAAGCTTTACCAGTAGTTCTTTTCTTCACATTGTCTCTTATTAGAAATGGCCCAAAGATATCTGTAGCAGTGTGATAGAAAGCTGGACATGGAGTTATTCTTTCAGTAGCGACTTGACCCATGCACTGACCTTCAACTTTGTAATCTAATCTCCTACAAGTAACACATTTACGTTTCACTGCTCTGATGACTTTACGTGCTGAAGGAACCCAGAACTTTGTCTGCAGTTTACTAAGTGTAACATCCACTCCAGCATGATCTATATTATGCAAATGACTAATATAAAGTATAGTAAACAAATGTTTCCTGGGTAACAGGATAAAGTTATCTTGATTCCAATTTTGTTTTAACCAATGCTCCAGTCTTTGACCTACCATAATTATACCATTTTCAGTCTTGTATGGTCCCAATCTTTGATATTTCTGTTTCCAATTACCAGAAAAACATTTTTGTGCTTGCCTGATCCAAAATTGTAATGCTTCATTTAGAATATCAGGTTCAAGTCTTAATAAGATACCCTTTAAAGATCTGATCTTCATTACATTTAATATCCTACCAGTAACTGCAATAAGTTTATTGTAAATTTTGAACTTAGATAAATCAATAACACATTCATCTGAGTCCTTCAGACAGTGTGTTAAATTCACATGGACTCTATCAGGCAAGTCACATTCAATAGATTGACTTATTGGCCACTCTTCTTTGGGTAGAGTCATGAATTTTGGGCCATACTTCCACAATGAACTGATGATAATATCTGATGGATCATTAGGTCTAGTAAGTAAATCTGCAGGATTGTGACAAGAAGCAATCCACCACCATTCATTGGGATTACTCTTCGATTGTACTTCTGCTACCCGTGTTGCTACAAAAGTCCCAAATCCATACGACTCCTTTTGGATCTGTGCTCTCACAATAGCCGAGTCTGTTATATGCATTACTGAACTAAATCTATATGATAATTCATTTTCGATTAATTTGCGTAGTCTGCATGAAATAATTGCTCCACACAATTCAAGTCTGGGTATGGAAAGTTGTCTGGTAGGAGCTATTCTTCCTTTTGCCATTATTAGCTTACTTTCAAACATTCCAGATTTCATTTTCCACCTAGCATAAGCCACAGCACCATATGCATTTGATGAACTATCACTAAAAATAACAAGCATAGGCAGACCTATCGCTGTGGGTGGTTTGATACATCTTTCAAATGACAAGGAATCAATCCCAAATAACTTGTGAAAGTGTACTACCCATTGCTCTTTCATATGGGCAGGCAAAGGGTCATCCCATCCTAACTTGGTACTGCAACTGACAGTTTCCCGTAATAATATTTTGGCTTTCAATGTGTATGGAAGAAGTAAACCTAGTGGGTCATACACAGAACACATCTGACTTATAACAATTCTCTTAGTTAAAACTGGAGGAATGTTACAAATAAAATTTGAAAATTTTAAATCTGGACCTGTTCGTATACCCTTATATTTAGGAGAGAAATTCAACCTTGCTTTGAATTTAAATTCATCATTCCAACGATCCCAATATAAACCAAGAATTTTATCGCCTTCATTCTCTGAAAAATCTAGATCATCCTTATCAACATCACCAGTCATAATCCACTGCTTTACCTTAAAATTGCCATATGAGAGTATTTTCTCAGTTTCCTGAATCAACTGCAAAGCTTTCTCTTTACTCTCAACTGATTGTATAATATCATCAACATAAGAATTTGATATTATCATAGAAGCAGCATCGGGATACTTTTCCATCCATAGCTCAGCTGTGTGTTTAAGAGCCAACATAGCAATTATTCCAGAAGGTTTGTCACCAAAGCCCATTGAAGTTAACACATAATGCTCAGGCTCACAATTCAACTGGAAATCTCTCCAAACAAATCTGCGTACATGTTGCTCCATTTCAGGAAGCTTAATACTGTTGTACATCTTACTTATATCACCTGCTATACCTATGGCTCCTTCACGGAATCTCAGTAATATGCCCACCATGGAATTCAAAACATCAGGACCCTTGGCCCAAAAGCTATTTAGAGATTGTCCCATGAATTTGGCAGAGGAATTAAAGACAATCCTAATTGGTGTGGATGTAGATCCTGGCTTTAGCACTTCATGATGTTGAAGATATGTAATAGGACCAGCATAACCTTTTATTTCATCTGGTGTTAATTTACGTGCAACATCACGTTTGATCATATCCCTTATTTGGTTGTTATAAGCTTTAGCATATTCTGGTCCAAGTTTCAGCAATCTCTTCTCAGTACTCCTTAATTTGGCAACAGCAACAGAGATATTATTCTGTAATAAATTAGGGTCTTTAACCCATGGGAATTTAGCGGACCATTGTTTTTTTTCTGAATCATATTGTAATCCTTTTTCAATTAAGGCTAACTCTCTCTCTCCTCTAATACTATAGTCATTGTTACCCACTGCACATTTGCCACATTTGCAATCACCACATCTAGGATTACATTCTGTTCCTAAATATTCCACTGTGAAAAATTTATCAATCTGATCCTTAATATCAGATTTCGGTTCAACAGTTATATCTTTGTCATATATAATCCCAGAAATATGGTTTATTCTGATGCCTACAATATCCCTAGTACCTGAGGCACAAGCTATACTAGGGTGACTACCACGAACACACATCCCAAATCGAGATTCCATAAGTTGTAAATTTTCACCTACAGTTTCTTTAACTGTAGGGATTAGAGAGCAATAGTCAGCACCTATCAGTAAATCTATCTTACCATGAGGTCTATCCAATTGGCATACATCAGTACTCTTAAATAAATGCTTCACATGTGACAGATTAACCTTGTTTATACATGATGTTATTTCATCTATACCATAAGCAGTAATATTCACATTATTCCCCTGTTTATCAGTAAGAACAAGGTCATATTCCTTACTGTTATATGTTACAGTCTGGTTTCCTAGTTTAGTCACAGCTAAGCGTATATGCTTGCCTTTCAATCCTAATGAGGCTGCCATATCATTTCGTATCATTGTCACGTCAGCCCCAGAATCAAAGAGTGTATTTAATACTTGATTATTACATTTAATCTTATTGACCATGAACATGACTCCATTTCTTTTCAAGCTGACGTATGAACTCCCAACAATCTGATTTTCATGAAGGCTCGTGTGATGGAGCTTCCCACAAGTTTGATTATTTGCATCAGTTGCAGAACATCTTGATTTTTTAAAACATCTCCTAGATACATGAATTCCCTTTAGACAATTAAAACAGATACCTCTTTTCCTTAGAATTTCAAATTTCTCACTATTGTTTAACTTCTGAAATGTTGCACAGTCTAAAATATCATGTCCATCTGTTCCATGATACCAACACCTGTTCAAATGTGTACTTAGAGTACCAATAGACCTCTTTTCTTCACTCTTTTCTTCTGTAAGCTTGATCACAAGGTTATTTATATTTGTTACAGCCTTCTCAACATCAGACAGCCTCTTCATTATTTCTGATTCTTCAGTATGGTCAGAGCTAATCCTATCTTGATTGTACACAGCATAGTTCACTCTAGCTTTAGTGTTAACAGGGTTCCTTACACTGGCAATCAGATACTTAAGGGATTTCCTTTCACCCAAAAGGTATTCCAGTAGTTTTTTAAATAATTCAACAGGTTCAACATTTTCTGCTATTTTGATCCATTCCCGCTTCTGAGTTGGAGGCAAGAGTTTCTCTATCTGACTTGTCATATTGGCAGTATTAAGTTCTGAAGATAGACCCAACTGATCTAGATAAAGAAAATTTTGCTCAATTTTGTCTACCATTCTGATAAAACCTAAACTATCACCCTCGACTACAGGTTCAATTTCTCTCAAATCTTCAATTACTACATCAATTACTCGTCGACTATCACTGTACATGTCATCTAACCGTGCAAACATTTTATCAAAATCATGCTCGACCCCACAAATAGAGTCTAAGGCTTCTCCTGAGAGACACTGTCTAAGAGCAAATGGGTCTTTTCCATAGTTGGGTTGCATAAGTCTGACATAATCCCTTTTAAAATTACTATAGTCTCTGATTTTTCCATCAAACTTTGGAATGTCAATAGATTTTACTTTGATGGCCCCTTTCATTTGCATCTCATCTTTAATCTTTACAAACAAAACATGGGCAGCACATTTCTTATCGTCAAGTTCCTTAATGTAAATATCTGCAGACTTTAATTCTTGAGTATCACTAGTTTCATCAAGTAAATTGCAATAACTTTCATTTGCTAGTTCAACTTCCTCAAAAGCTTTAACAATCAAATTATAGTTATCTTCCAATATTTCTAAGGCAACTTTATCTTTCACATGCTCATAAAACTTTTCTAGCTTACGTGTTAACTTTCCTTTGGCAGTTCCTCTATGCTGCTTAGCCCTTTTTGACTGATTCTTCATCCAACCGTCTACCGAAGCAGCAGAGCCCTCCATGCTGCCGTGCTGAGGCTCCTCGTCGCTGAGCCCCATCCTGAGTGTTGTCGAAATGTTTCACGGGTCACCAGAAATAATACGGCTTGTCATAATGGTTTATGATTTATTTCGACCTGCAATAAACATTAACACACAAATAACACAAATCTTATAACATGGGCACAACAAATGAAACAAATACCAAATCACTCATATGAATTTCCAAGAAAAATAAAATTATGTCAAAATATTAATGCAAATTATAAAGAAATCAAACTTACAACATTGCCTCATCTGGTGAGCGTGAAGTGTTATCCCTGTTTTCCACTTGGAACAGAAGATCTCTTTTTTGGGAATATGCTTATCTGCTTCTAAAGATGCTAAATACAATTCTAGCATCCCAAAACAACAAGAAAATAAAACTGCAACTTATAATACAACTTCAAAAACATAATATGGAT